TTAGTTATTAAAAAAAATTGTATGTATTCTTTGTTTGTAAGATACAAACAAACATTGCAATTTGTGTCAGCCTTTTTTTAAATATTTTCATTGCCACAGAAACTATTTACTATCTACCTCTGAAATGAATCAAAAACTCTTTATTCTCATACCTTATAATATTTGATTCGAACTCCCAGTCACTAACCTAGACCATGACTTTCCATATTTGGGGTAGGTAGCTAGGTATTTATTCAATGTATTCAGCCTCCAGATTTTTTAGTTATTTTAATAGATGCATCGCTTATTCTGAGGTCTGTAAATAAAAGAAAACTCACATTAATATAGCTGAGATTTAGGTAACCATTCGATTAATCATTTACGTAAAAAATACCCTTTTAATTAGCGGTGGGCGAACATTTTAATCTCAGCTCCCGGGATTACAAGCAGTGAGCAAGGACTTAAACAATTCAGAAGTAATAATTCTTCGGAGTGTTATAAATAAGGAAAATAAAGGATGTTTTCGTACGGAAACAAGAGAAAGGGGATTTTTTTAGTAAACCAGTAACGTACAGAAAGCTATAATATTTGTATTAGGTTCTTTATGTAAAAAAGAAAAATCATGCAATTTTCTGAAATCGTTGTTCAGATACTGCTAATCAATTAATCAATGTCACACAGGTATTCTAATAAAATTTAAAAATAAGGAATCATTTATTTCACATTTCATTGGTCAGTCGGAGGGTCAACAAATCTGCTATTAGACATGTAATAATAGCGGACGTGGGTAATACGTGGAAGCATGGTTATATATATATACATATCTAAATATATATCCCTAAAGTGCAAGGTTATTTTAAAAAATCCAAGATAACTTGCGCTGACATTATTCAATTACATAGCAATTTACGATATCTGCACTATATTATAATTTCACACATCACAGGAACCGATTTTGTATTATCATAATTTAAATAGCATAATTGTGTACTTAACTTTAATCGATTTTTTTATTTTTAATTTGATCTATTGTCTAATTATTATGAGATCTATCTTATATATTATATTGCTTTAGAATTGCTTTTTGTGTGAGCTTATCCTAATTGAAACTTGATACTTCGGTAAGAAGTAATGTACTAATTGGCTTGTTTTCTTGGTCGAATCGCAGGTGAAGGGAAATTAATGCTCCCAGGAGGATGAATATACAATTATTTTTCCCGAATAATGCTTGTAACGTTTGTGTTATAAGTTTGTTTTGAGGGCAGGTGCATGGAAGGGTTACAGTTGCGCTGCTCCTCGGTCGACTACGGACTTTATACATTGTTTTAATTTAAGATTGATAACAAAAATTGTGTTACTTAAGAAACTTTGACCAGAATACTTAACCTCCTAAATCTTTACCAGTAGACTATACTCTGCATTACTTTATAATGGAGGTGGTAAAACACTTGTTAAAATGATATATATAAGTATAAATATTTAAGGGTTCACATTAAGTGTGGAATGCGTTTAATTTCATTTTCAATCCATAACCTTTTCCATAAACTTCAATATATATTTTCTGCGATTGCGTATTATTATTATTTAGAAATGACTAATGAAGATGCTTCAGTGATTAGCATCCAAGTCGTAGAGACAGCGGCTCGTTTACATTATCAAATTAATTTACAAGTGGGGCGGATGTTTTCAAATAATTAATTATTTCTACGTTTTAATTGAGAGCTATGAAATTTCTAGGCCCTTGAGTAGATCACTGTCGAGTGGAGAGTTACCGAGTATTTGCTTTGTTTACTTTCTCTTTGGCTGTAATAATAGGCTTTGCAATCTGTGTTTCTTTTCCGTTATCACTGCGATAAAGTAAAATGTAAATTTACTCGTATGGGATAGTTTACAATAATAATGAGATATGATATCACACTTCAAGTACCTACATATAGTAGTAGTACATACATTCGTTGAAACAAGTATATTTATGAAGGTAAAATATGACAAAAGTATATTTTAGATACGATCACTCCAGTCATTAAAGTAACTTGGTATCTTTAATGCCAATAATTGTAATAATATCAGATTTAAAAGTTATTTGTCATAGTCAAAATGCTAACGGTACATATTTTCCTTTCCCAGATTTTTTTATCGTCCTCATGTTGATTTCCTATTTAATTTCCTCTTGTATTTTCAATAATTCTTTGTTTCAATATATTTTAGGATCTACAAGCTATTGTTGTTGATAAAATGTACTTTCAAACTCATATGAGGGAAACTTGAAAACGCTATTCATTTCAATAGTTTAATGAAAATTAAGTTATCCTTAAATTATAGTATCGAAATACAGTAATAACTCTTAATAAAAAAGAACAATGTATTATAAAGTAAATTAAAAAAAAATAATGTATTATCAGCGTACGTATATTGTGTCTTCTGATGGCACAAATAGGCTGGTAGACCCCCACATCCCGCCATGTCACAACCAATTGAATGTTTAGCCTAGAACGTATCAATCTAATTCCAGAACCTGTCAAATGTAATTTATAGAGTCCTCGTAGCCGTGATTACCGTGAATATTATATCATTCAATCATACGCATAGATGTATAACAATTTTTTATGTACTTTCTTTTATTATAAAAAATAATAAATTCTAATAGATACACAGATACTTATAGATTGAGTGTATTAAGTACGAAGTACTTACATGTTCTGTATTACGTGGTATCTACTTGTGTACCAACAGTATGTTCAATTTACTAAACTTGCAAATACATTAGAAACAGTCACTTTTGTAAATATGAACTTTATTCTTGGATGCTATAGCTGAAGAAATGATTCGAAATATTTGTAGTCAATTTATTTACCTGTGATTCGTTTCGGTTTGGGCGGATACTTGGTCCGATGATAAATTATATGCAGTCATTCATTTTCTCAAGAGAGAGCAACCAAATAATATTGAAACGTAACTCTGTGTATTAAAGAATTAAATCGCAGTTTGATAAACTTCTTAGATGTTTACAAATGTAGTACAACTGGAAATTGTAATTTGAACTTTATAGTAATCAGCCATAAGTGCATTTTGCTGTAAAGTTAATTTACTGTCCGGTTGTGGGATTCCGAATGACACAACCGATTGACAAATGATTACCAGTCACAGTTCAACAGTTCATTTGTATGTAAATATTATATTTTTTACTCGAAATTAATTTGCCTTTTTTCTTGTATCTATTAAAATTATCATTATTTTAGATCTAAATAAAAGTGTATTCTATTTATGAGTATAAAAAAAGTAACCAGCTGAGAAGGGAAACATGTTCAAACATTGTCGAATGCATAAGTTTAACAATAACAATATTAGATAGAAAGGAAAATAAACGCTAAATTGCACTCATTTACTGGGTCGCAACGATCAATCATGGCGTCTAAGTCATCAGCCGGTTCAAATGTCAAACGAACCTAGGGTGGCAATAAAAAAGAAAAAACCGAGTTGCCATTATTAAAAAAGTGACTGTGACTTTATTTCCATTGTCGATTGCCGATTCGGGATTATTAACTGACTTGCATATTTTTTGTGTTCTAATATTGATAGATTGGTTTTTCGAGTAGCTGACTTTTGATTTCGTTGCGTGGTTGCGCCGGTAGACAGGGTAAGTGGTGGCGGTTATAATATCTGCTAGAAACGTATTTGTATCAAAATAGCACAAAACGATAGTCATCTGATAGTCGTTCACACGCGAAGTGAAATGTATTGTCTGAACCGCTACAGCCAACTACTTCATTTATTGCATACCTTTTAATGCCACTTACGTTCAACTTTAATAAATCGTTTCTGGCTTTTTGACATTTCCATCATAATTAGGTACGAAAGAATTATTTATGGAAACGGTTTTTTGGAGTAGGTGCTTTTTATTTACTGTACATACTTATGGTTTATAAGGATTATTATTTCTACCCTTGTTATTACGAAATGATGTTAAGGGAATTGGATTCAATTTGACGGAATTGATTTCCGTTAATTTTACGATTCCGTTTGCGTGATCTCGTCCAGCAATAATCTAATAAATTCGTCCATTGGGAAGGGGACCGTATTGTAATAACTCAATATTAATCAGTTTTATTGGCCAACTCGACTTCATTTTTAAACATGCATGGTAATAATAAATGACTATATTTTGTCTATAATAATGATTACTATCGATAATTCACACAGCGCCAAGTCCCAAGACAAGCACAGCTTGTATTATGGTTACTAGACAACTGATATAAATCCTTAAATACTTTTTTTGTAAATACATACATAATTTACATAGAAAACAACCAGACTAATATAAACAGGCATATCTACTCATGATAAAAATGTTTTCACCCTACGAGGAATGGAATCTGCGAACATTACAAGAAAAGCGATTTGCTGAACTGATAGACCACTGAGGTCGTCAACTGAAATCTTTGTACATAGTTTGTCGTAAAAATTGTAGTCTCAAACGGATATTCAGTCGGTAATATTTATACTTCTTCAGAAGTACCTATTGGTAAACCGTTGGACGATGCAGTGTTCACACATGTATAATAGTGTGTGATACTACTGTATGTAGTGTACACATGCAAACACGAGAGAGATCGCGTGCGCGCATACAATATCATTGGAGCCAAGCCGTTCCACGTTACCCCGTATTTTAACAACTGTCCTAATACATCTTGCAATGTTGTTTTTACTGCATTTGCCACGTTATTGTTTGTTCTTTTTGCTGTTTACTTTTAATTTTTATTTCACCTTTTTATTTTGTGTTTACTCTCTAAACATACAACATATTTTTAATATCATTGATCGATTACTTATAAGGTTTTTACTTGTTTAGATTGAGATGATATTCTATGGATACAATTTTTAGCTGATGCGGTGGCAATTTTATACTCTTAGTATGTTTATACTGAATTTGCATGTAAATTTATCTGTGTGAATATAAGTAGACAAAATTTTGAAAATTTAAAATATTCAACGAATTGGATCGATTTTTTTCTTCATTTCAGGTGCCTGTCAATGAAAGCGCCAGACAGGTATGTCGCTATGTCGATCACAAGTCACGCCGCGCGTTCGGTTTCGTTCGGCCGGGTTCGGTTACGTTCGGAAACGTTCGGGCGGGCTCGGCCACTCAGCCGGTTGCTCGCAGGCTAAGGGGGTAGCCTGGAAGACCACACAACACACCCGCTACGCAGGATATATAAGCATAGTATTGTTTTTCCAACAAAATCGCTTATTGGTGTGTTTTGTTCTATTATTTTATACTATTTTATTTCGTTTTGCCAAAATTTCATCTTTGATTCCTAAGGTAGGTTCATGTCATCTACCATCGAATTTTCGATTTAGGTTATCACTCGATCATTTTCTTTAATTGCTTGATTCAAACGTGATTCAATCTTTACAAGTCGATTGCATTTGTTAAGTGGTGTGATTATTTTACTGTATTACTGTGGGTGAATTGTTAGTTGTCGTTGTTTTGGTTCCAGGTTACACCCTAGCTACTTAATTAAATCCCAACCAAATCACAGATAAATTTACAAATCAATTCTCGTATAGTAGACATGTTGAATGATTTAGATATTTATGTTTAGTTTTATAAGCATGGTTGTTTAATTTTTTTTTATTCATACTCGTCACGCCGGATTCAGGTAAGTTCATTTGAACTTGATGTTCAATTAAATATTATCACGATATTCACATAGCCTGTATGACAACTGGATAATATTATAAGTATAAGTTACCACATCTGTCTCAACTGTAATCATGCATGACCGATAACTAGACCCAAAAGCGATCCAATGACAACGCGTGATCATCATCAAATCGTAAAGGATTTAACGCTTCTGTTAGCACGCTTCTTTTGTTGGCGTCATAAAGCCGGCCATTAAAATGTTTGATAAAACGTTGGTCGCACAAAAAGAGAGTGTGTAGCTACCGTGGGCTCCCTACTGAGCGAGCTCATTGAGGAACGGTGCCATGCTGAGGTGCTCTTAAATGTACTACAAAGGCTGAATGTTACACTCTCCCGTTTTGGTCGAACCGTTGATACCTCGAGTGTCCTTGTTAATTTTGCATTCGATTCTATGTTCTTTGCATATGTTGTGAAATATATTGTATTTTATTACTATTGAAGTAATAGTTATAAAAAGTGTTATGATAGAAATATGTTTTTGTGCGGATATTGGTTAAATTTAATTATAAAATTTATTACAATTTATTTTATAAAATATAATTAAAACATATGCATAGTTTTTTTTAATCTGAAGTCTCCATTTTTTTGAGTCAATTTGATAAGAATTTTTGTAAAATCATTTTGAATTACAATGTTCCAACTTCTGTTTAACAATTGGATAGACTTGAATATATAATTATGTCTAGTTCACTGGTTATCATAACTTTAAAAATTGCTAATTAATCCCGGGCCTTTACTTAACTACTGTGGTCATCAAGGCGTTGAAATAATATGGATTGAAGTTGAGATTTAATTTGTTTAAATGTTCCAGTAGTTAAACATACTTTTTTATTCTTTATGAGATTAAGTCATTAAAAAATTTGCTGTAATCACATATTTGCTGTAAACCATTATATCTATGACTAACCTACAATTTAGTATACTTTATCTCATTTTAAAATTGTTTAAATATCTTTGTATTAAAATAAAAACGTTTTTTAATATAGTTATTTAGTGTGTAATTTTGCCTTTATTCATTGGATCAGTGTTCATGACAACCCGCGTAAACTATAGAGTAAGTCAGGTTTCAACGGAAAATTCTTTGACTATCTTTTGATCAAATAATACGAGTGTGAGTCCTGTTTTTTTTATAAAAATGTACACACATTTGAATACAATAAAGAGTAGGATCCAAAAAATGTATATATAAATAAATTAATATGGTTGCTTAAATACATTTATTGATCAAATAATGTAAAATCAGATTTATTGATACCTAAAATATTGACATGCCAATATTTTTTGCCCTCTACTCCACCCCTCCTATTTTTTTACTCTATGTCATAGACTATGTTTTAGATTATTACTAACACATCTAGAATCGTCTTTCTAGTATATAAACTAATAATATGCAAGTCGATAAACAAAAACAATTCAATATCTATTTGTTTTCATTATGTTATGCAAATGACATATTTATCACAAATTCCAAATTCCGTCTGCTAAACGCAGTAATACCTTACTAAATAAACAATAGAGCTCCGAAACATAAAATACTTTGAGCGAAACGCACGGCAATCACAACAAAGGATCCGTTTACATTCTAACGCCTTTTAAACTAACAAAGGCGGAATTCAAATAAACACTAAATCGTTAACCCTTTGACCGTCGCGTCGGTGGGCAATTTTCACTTCGGAAAACGCAATAGAAATGATTTTGTAAAAGGGTCCCCAGTCTGACACCCCGACACCCGTGGTTTCTATGCTGTACTTATTCGTAAACTAATCTAGCTACATATATGATCTAAACAGATTTATTTGATTGTTTTATGCAGTTAGAATAGTATCATTTATCCCTCCTATACTTACATGAAGAACATCATTGACTGGATGGATAATCTGCAAAAAACAGACTTATTAATTTATTAGAAAAAATATGTTCATATACGTTTACCATAACATCAACAGTTAATAGGCATGACGGTAAGTTTACTTTCTTTCTGTAGAAGACGGTCGCGGAAAATGTTAACTTTTATCTACAGAAGTTTCAGAATTGAATTGATTTCTTCTTTAAGACAAACAGGTAAAGCAATGGTAACATTTCTTGTATATTTCCTACTTATTTATTTAATTATTTAGTACTACTTTCAATAATTAACCATTATATTGCTTCTGACCCAGGTAAACAATTTATATTCCAAGTTATTCGTTGTATATAGATTATCTTCATCAGTGGGCAATTGGCAACAACAACTGCAATATTTAATAATGTCAATATCAATAATTAAAACATCGATAAAAATATAATTTACAGACCTTCTTAAAATCCAATTTGTTATTTGTATACATATACCACGGAAAATGGCTATAACGACCTATTAATAAAGAACATATCTATCGAATGGTATTTTCGAACGTTTCATAATACTCATCTGTACCTTGCCTGAAATCACAGGAGGTGTTCATTTGTACACTTTGATTTGAGCTTCAGGGGAGATTTCCCTTTGTGACCGAAGCGAGTTGTTATATACTGAGTAGCAATCTTCTACTTATTTAAAAGTTATGGTCTTTTGATTCTTTTCTCTGAATCACATTGTCAGGTATTTGTTTTATATTAGGTATCTTATTTACGGCGACATAGTCACTAAAACGTTAGTCATTTACAAAATTTAGCTATAGAAAAAAAAATTGACTATTTGATGAATACAATGGAGACTACAAAAATGTATTTAAATATGGTTATTTTACTATAAGAGGTGTTAAAATGTTCGCTTTCACTCATATCCTACTACAATAAGATACAAGAACATCCTCAACAACTTTTGTTTTTTTTTATAAAACTGTGGTCACAATTATTAGGATGTCAATGGGCTTTGATCTCACCGCTGCGCAGCCGCCAGAGTCGCCCCCGCGGCAGTCCTCACGCTGACTTAAACAATAGGTATTCTTTTAATACGTATGATCGCTTAATGTTCAAATCATCCTACCAACTTATGCGCAGTAACACTATAGCATGTATTACAACAGACATAAAGTCTATTTTTTTTAAAAGCAACTATTATCAACCATAGTAAATTTAGAATGACTATTCATGTAATCATACAATGAGAAGGTTTTATCTATTACTTGCGCAATAAGAGTTAGATTTGCATGTATTTTTTATTGTCCTTGTAAATTCAATTTGAATAGAATAATCTGACACAGTCGTAGGATTGAAATGTGATTGGTTCGTCCGGCAGTCGGCAGGTTTATTGTGTTCTCGCTATTGGAAATAATTGAAGGCTATTTTTGTAATTAATTTATGTTTCCAGATTACGATAGGATAATAAAATATAAGCGTGCTATTTCAATTAAAAACTATTTTCTTTGTTATGATAATCTATGAATATTTTTCTTCGCCATAATACTGCTTCCGTTGTTTTTAGTCATATTAAAATGACTTATAATTTGCTGAAATAAGTCGATAATTCAAGGAAACAGCTGAAATCATCGTATTATATAGATAATATAAGGTTTATCTATGTGAGTCACGCCGCGGAGGTGTGTCATCAAATAATACTGTGGTAACGAGTGCATGCGTGAATATTCTTGTGTTTAATGAGCCCTATTGCCAATTCCATCATGAATGGCCGGTGCGTTGCTCTAGCTACTAACCGCACTCACCCATATGCGCGTAGAGGCGTGATGAGAAACGGAACGTGAACTTTCCCTCTCATCACAATGCCCTAACCGCTGCTTGTGGAATCTGCGGAGCAGTATATCACGCGGTCTGCATCGCAGTATAGCATCCTAAAAAAAGATTCCATTAATTCAATAAACACACATGAACTGTCCTTATAAAATTAATCGTCAGTTAAGAATTGTATAAGACGTCATTGAAATATTCTTGATAGTTTAGTCTATGAAATAATGATGTTAATATAGGTCGTCACAATATTGTATAATAATATACCAAAAGCATATGCTAGTGTCTGTGTAAGAATATGTTAATGAGATCTTAAATAGCTTTTCTACAAAAGAGAGAATATTTCAAACTAAGACAAATGAATCTATAAAATTAATTGGACAAGTAATCGAAAACTCAGAAAGAATTTCTTCATCTCTGTTGTGGGGGAGCGGAAACAAATGAGGGGCGGACATTGAATAATTCGATTTCCTTATTTGCACCAATCAATATCTTATAAAGAAACGCGATATGCAGCACTGATATTTGAATATGGTAGGTTTATGTAATATTTGTTGATATCATTTCTTGCCATATTTTTTAACCAAAATTAATCACAAGTATTAATGGAAACACATACTACGTCGTATGCGGTACACATTTTTTTTATTAAAAAAATAAATTCTGTTACCATAGTACAAT